CAAAGACAATAAAGGGTGAATAAATCTGAGTGATTGTGATCGACTATCAATCAACCATAACTTCGCCCAGCTTACTTCACTACTTCACTAGTTACTAGCAGGTCCTAAGCCCGGATAAAGATGGAAGGTTGCGCATAGGGCTAGCAACCCTACCCCGGAAAACAATCTAATCGCTAAAGAAATTTTTAAAAAAATATAAAAAATAAAAACAAACTTATTTCTCACTGGAATCGGAGAGACGAAATGACGCCGGTTAGTGAAAGCCGTCAGAAAGTCAATTGGACGATGTCCTCTCTCTATCTCTCGATGAAAGCAAAAGTAAGCATACGGACATGGAATGTCCGCACTATGTTTGAAGCTGGCTGGCAAGGCTGCCCAGATTCCAAAAGAAATGAGAAAATATAGCGCAGAAGTGCTAGGAATCTGCAGATGGAATGGAAGTGGAGTCTACAATCTGTCAGCTGCAGAGTCAATAATCCACTCCGATATTGTCACCCAGACGACAACCACGAGCACAGCACACAGTTTCCGAGTGGCTATCATGATGTCCCCAACAGCATCGAAGGCTCTCTCTCATGCAGTGGGAACCAATCTCCTCCTGCAGGATCATGACAGCAAGATGGATCCAACTCAAAAGGAAGGAAAGTCACAATCATACATTGCTGAGTTACGCACCTACAAATGATGCAGATGAAGAGAAGAAGGAGGAATTCTACAGACAACTGCAATCAGTACTGGACAAGACCCCACCCACCACAGATGGCAACATCAAAATTCATTCTGATGGGTGACATGAATGCCAAACTGGGAGCAGACAACTCAGGAAGAGAACTCATCATGAGTCGAGAAGCACTCAGTGAAATGATCAATGAGAACGCAGAACTGTTTGCATACTTCTGCACATTAAATGGTTTTGTGATTGGAGTCAGGCAGTGTGTACAAACACACGACATGGATTTCACCAGATGAATGCACTAAAATTCAGATCGACTTCATTTCAATCTCAAGAAAGTGGAGGTGGACACAAGATCAGATCGAAAAGAGAAGCAGATGTAGGCTGAGAAAACTCATTTTCTAGTGCAAGTAACCTTTCAAAATCAAGTTGAAAGCCTTCAGAGAAGTTGGTGATAGACCACAGTTCAAGTTCAACACCCAGAACAGAAACTGAAGGACGAAACTACAAAAGGCATCTTCACGTCGGCCATCAGGAAAAAATGGAAGACACTAGGCAACATTCCCGAGGAAACCCGCGTGGAAGAACAGTGGAACTCTTTGAAAGAGACGTGGAAGGAAACCTGCAAACCGTGTAACGAAGGAAGAAGAAGAAGCAAGACAAGGAATGAACACATGAAAACTGATAGAGCAGGGAGCGGAAGATGGCGAAGCAGATGAACCAGTGTAAGCATGCACAACGAAAAGAAGAACTGAGTACAACGTACAAAACACTGGACAAAGAAGTGAAGAGTGCACGGAAAGACAAAAGACACTACTACGACACACTTGCAAGTGAAGCAGAACGGGCTGCAGGTAAGAGATATAGAAACCTGACATTATATCAAATAACCAGGTTAGCATCTGTGAAGAGATCAACACACATGAAAATAATGAGGAGAAACAAAGGAAACAACGCCTGATCACTTAAAAAACTCTTGAATCGACCACCACCACCAACTGCAACTCGTCCAGAAATACAACCAAGAGTCACAGAATTATCAGTGAACACAAACCCTCCGACAAAAGCAGAAATGAAGTCTTGAACCCTATGGAGCTGCTGAAATTCGGGAAAGCAACAGCAGCAGATGGAACTCCTTCAAGAGCGCTGAAAATAGACGCAGAGACATTAGAAGCGGACATGCTTACACCACTATTGCAGAGGGTTTGAAGGGAAGGAAGGGAAGGTACCGGCAGATTGCAAGAAAGGCTACCTTGTCCAAATCCGAAGGGACAAGAAAAGGAACTGGTGCGGAATCATGCTCCTGTTAACCACCCCATCATCATGGAGAGACTGAAAAGTGCTCTGGATTCAAAATTATGACCGGTACAGGCTGGATTTGGGAAATACAAATCATGTGCAGACCAAATTGCAATGCTACTCTACGCATCATCATAGAACAGAGCATAGAATACCAGTCAACTGTCTATCTCAACTTCATCGACTTTGAAAAGGCCTTCGACAGCGTCGACCGAGAAGTAATTTGGCAGGCAACTGCTTCAACACTACGGTTTTAGTGCCACAAACCTTTATCAACCTCATTCAACAACTATATGAAGACGCCACATGCCAGCCAAGTAATTCACAATGGGAAGCTCGGTGATGCTTTTGAAGTGAAGACAGGAGTAAGACAAGGCTGTCTACTATCACCGATGATCTTCCTGATTGTGGTGGACTGGATCATGCAGCAGACGGTGAGGAGCTGTGAGAAGAGGGGGATACGCTGGACCGGGGTAAAGATCCTAAAAGATTTGGATTTCGCCGATGACTTGCATTTAATATCGCACAAACTCGAAAATCTACAGGCAAAAACTAACAGGTTGACAGAAAAGGTGAGGCAGCGAAGACGAGACTTCTTTCAAGTGAACGTAGAGAAGACGGAGGTGATGATAATACCCAACAAACACCACCAACCACAACAACAAGCTCCAATCACCATGAACGGGAGAAACTTAAAGGAAGTAGTCTCTTTCACCTGCCTATGCAGGGCAGCATCGTTTCAACTACAGGTGGCGGCGGCGGCACAGATGAGGATGTCAAAACCAGGATCGGAAGGACAACAGGACAGGCTTTCACTAGTCTGAAATCAGTGTGGAGATCTTCTCTACCCGGCATAAAACGTGAACAACATCCGGATTTTCAACACCAATGCCAGTAAAGTCAGTGGCTGCTATATGGTTCAGAGACTTGGCGCGTCACGAAAAGCACTTCCAACAAACTACATACATTCATCAACAGCCGCCGTCTATGCTCACTCGATACTGAAGATCAGATGACCAGCATTATAAGAATAAGTAACAAGGAACTCTAGCTGGGCAGCAAACCAACCAATCGAGAACCCATTGCCCAACAAGTATGCAGAAGAAAGTGGAGATGGATTGGATTGGACATACACTGAGAAGACCATTTGGGGACATCACGCGTCAGGCCCTTGAGTGGGATGCAGAGGGGAAAACGACGAGTTGGGTGTCCGAGGGTGACATGTAGGAGATTGTGTGAGGTAGTCGTGGAGTCAGGTTGAAAAGACTGCAGAGAAGAATGGCAATGGCGACGTGCTACTGAAGCCTCATGTTCCACCAGGAAACCAAAGGACAAATAATAATATAATCAATCATATTCTTGATTTTGTAATCAACGACTGATTCTTCACACTCCGAGAAATACACGTTGCATTTGCTTATAAAAGTCGGAGATAGCCAGAGACTTTATGAATCCATATCATATCTCAGTCTGGTCAGTTACAGCTTTCTTCCAACCCAACTCTGCTTAACCTAAGATGTGTATAGTAGAGTTACGGTTGGGTGAAGTCTGTCGTTCTTTTTGAAGTGATTTCATATGTTTATATTTCGAAGTTAGTGTCAAGGAAGTTCAATTCACTACCTTCACGTGGCAATGATGCTTCAACAAAAGTGGGAGGGCGAAAGTAAACATCTCGCAGTTACACCTAGATGGATGAATAGTTCAGTTAGAATCTTAGAAAACGCTAATTCTAAACGAATAGGCTTTAGGATTCCGAAAGAAAGATTGGTCAATAAACTCATTTCGGTTACTCGGAAACTTAACTCCTGGTGTTGGTGATACTGGGACAGTGGTCTCCTAAGTCAATCGGTAGTTCGATCTGAGTGACCGGATCGTACCTCAACCTTACATAATACAAACCATCCAATAACTGATAATCCTGCTTTAGGTAATAGTGTGAGTAAAAGAAGACAGTAGATGGGCATGTGCAACACAAGTCTTCGTGAGATTAGTCGATTCAGGTTCAAACCAGCATTGATTGCCGTGTTTTCTTTCTTTATCATTCTACATCCAAACAACCGGGCTAACTCTTTGATTCTCACATATGTGACACGCTGTGAAGACACTTGTGATCAAAATCTGTAACTTCATGTCATCCATGGTCAACGGTCATGTTGTATACCTGTGCAGTAGGACAAAGTTCACAGCTGTGTAGCAAATTCACCTGCGACTGCAGTCTATTGGATGGCTAGCAGTGGAATCCAGGACCCGCATTTTGTCCTCTGTGGGATCCGTCAACTGGATGTAGCAGCACCACAGTGTGATGTTGCTCCATTGAGACTCGAACCCAGTACCCACCACTTACTGGGGTGCAGGTACATCGAACTGACGAATCACAAACAGGACGAAACGCATGTCCTGAATCATAAAGCTAGCCATCAAATAGACTACAATATAATGAATATCCAGGCAGTATCGAGGCATACGCATAGGAGTCCATCTGTCAACAGAGGTCGAGCAATTCGACCCTGTATAGCAACGGGAAATTACAAGTATGAATAAACATCACCTGTGACTGGTTAAATGAAATTAATCACGATAATTAAATCTAACTCACAGACGAAATCATCAAATATCATAAAGATATTTGCACTGTTATATTCAAGAAGAAAGTACAGTATAATTCAGTGACGTTGCATCATATGAATTAGATGACAATGAGCATAAGAAAATATTAAAATGAGTTACTCAGTAACTGTAGAAAATGTACGAATATACAGATAGGAGGTTATCTTTGCATCAGCATTCAAGCCAAACGATATGTTCTTTAGTATGGTCAAACCACCCCGCCGATCAAAGATGATCATAACAGGTTAGGATCATCCCTCTAAGGTATCAATTACTTTCCACCATCTCACATATGATGAATGCAGTTATCTTTTCAACTTGACTGTCACCGTTGGGGTAGAGATTTGAGCACAGGATGGCCTAGTTTGTGACCATTTACGGATTATTCAAATGACCAAAACCATTAAACCTGTTCCTTGCATGCTATGACTAAACCCGAAATTCGTAGAATATGATCACCAAAGCGTGAAGCGTATAACATGTTCCTCCGCTTCTCTTGACACTGCTCTTCCTTCTCTATCCCCTGAGACAAAATAAAGGCAAAAATAACTCCACAAATATGTTCGTATTTGAGGAGTACTAGCACGGACAACAAAAGACTTATATTCACACCAGTTAGCTTCTTCACAATAAATAGCTCATCAAAAGTATAGCAAGTCATTGTTGAAAGAAAAGGATTTTGAAAAGGAAAAATACAAACAGCTTTTAGTTGATTGTTCTTTTCTTGTTAATAACTCTCAAGCTATTCCTAGTGGTTCTCTCTCTCTCTCTTCATTCCACACAATTGACCTTAAGGAAGTGATAAGGAGAAGCAGCATATTAAAAATTTGAAAAGAAGGATTGGAAACAAAATGATGACAATAAAAATTCTTTCTTCTTCACTCCACTATGTACGTATTAAGAGATAAATAGAAGAAACGTTTCTGCCTTCTCCTCATTCACCTTCCAGTCATGATCATTACTTATTAAAATAAAGATTGGCAGTTAGTAATACAGAGTGGATAATCGATCGTTACAAAGGATTAATTTCTGAGACAGACAGACAGACAAAGGGGAATAAAGATAAATTTATTCTAATAGTATTTTCGATGGCAGTTAGGTAGTGTAATGTGATAGATAGAAGGGTTGTTTGGATCATTTTAGGCTCACCATACCAACTGATATATATATATATATATATATATATATATATATATATATATATATATATATATATATAAACTGCTGATTATCTGTTATAGTGTGGAATAAGATAGCCAAAAATCTTCACAAGAAGCCGTAAACTCCTGAGGCCCTTGTCAACCAGTAGTTTTGTTCCGGGAGAAAGCACGTGAACCACCAACGTGTGAACATCAAGTTAGTTGAATAGACGAAAAATCAATAGGATTCATATCTAGGAAGGTCTGGAAATAGCCAAGGACATTGTAAGTGTATATATTAAAATCACTGTTTTTATTTTTACATATTTCTCACGTTGCAATATGTCTTCTGTTATCTTACCGCCTTTTCCATTTACCGGAGAAACTGGACGACCATATAACTTAGGTTATATCAAGTAACCACAAGGTTATAAAAAGTGGCGACCGGAGTTACAAAAGTATCAAAAACAGAGCGAGAAAAACCTCATATTCCCAGACACTATCATGTTTCAGCCTACAGCATGATGAAAGCATCAGTCAGTCAGTATCATAATGCGACCTGACATTACTACGTAACGGACCAATCAGGATGTCACACTTTACATCAGCATATCAAGATACAAAACAACTAGATGAACGATAAGGGAGTTATAAAAAAAGAGTAATTATACCATGTGTTTTTGGCTTTGTTTAAATGTACTACAGAGTGAAACAGCACTATCTATTTCTTTATATATCCGTAAATAATTCTGTTCCACTGTGTGCTACATTCAAACAAAGAAATAACAAGGAGTTATGCTCGACCATAGTGCCCAAATTCCACTTCAAATAAATGAATCACAAGGGAAGAGGAAAATGGGAGTAAAACAACAATGAAAGGTGTGGATGCCACTGAAATTGATTCTGGATCATATCTCACCTAGAGTACCCAATTACCGATTCCGAATCAGATTGTCAATCAGTGACTACATCTAGACTGATGCCATTTTTACTCTGGTCATCTGTAACCTTTTTCTAATTTAAACCTGCTTCAGTGAATATTATGCGATGTGGCAGACGGTGACTAATCATGCATAAGAAAGCAAAGCATTAATACCATAGGTTAACAGATGTAGGATTAAGCAGTTTATTTTAGTGAATTCAAGATGAAAGAATTACAAGTCCTGCCAATAATAAAACGGTAAAAAAATATTTAACTCTCTGCTTTCACATAAAATGTTTTCTACATCCATAAAACTCAAAATAAACATAACAAACAGGAGTAGTAGTTCACACATCAATACCATACAATCAAACAGAAAACAAAACATTGAAACTAAAACATACCCTATAATATTATTACACTTTAAAAAGGTACGGAGAAAGTGAAAAATTACACCTAACTAAAAGGTTATAGAATAAAAAGTTTGAAAGCAGATAAAAATGGACTAGAACAATCAAGAAGTCGACATTTTAATAGAAAATCAATATGCAGTGGCATTGATACTCTAACTATAAAACTCTTAGATTCTGAGACAAATAGTTAGTGTGCATCTGCATAAAACACCCTCTGTTAGTCACCTAAATGATGAAATTTCGAAATTAAATTTCTAAAGATGGGTTGATTTCAAAACTGTAACGTGTTCATCAATGAGACCTGATTGTCTTGAGTTCGATTTCTCACAGAGTTGTGAGAGTACACTGCTGAGTAACTCCAAGCTTAGAACAAACATGTGCTCAGTGCCCTCTGAATCTCTATGGTGTCAGCGAGTGATGACAATTTTTTTTTCCACGGTATTGCTAGTCCGTTAAAACTAATAACAAAGTGAAACTAGCTGAGATCAGAACATACATTTATTACATAGACAAAGTATCCCGATAAATTTGCAGTTTGCAACAACTCACCTGCAATGCCATATGTCTTACAGCATTTATTATCTGTTCACGAGCTATTTTCGAGTAAGGCACTGCAGTGCTAAGTAACTGAGCAGCCATACTGATTGAGTTAACACGATTTTTTGAAGTGAATGTAGCTGCACAAAATGAATACCAAGATGGCCACATGGAAAAACTGGCATCAATTGTTGGTCCGAAATTCACACCACCACCACCGTTAGGCAAATCATCCCAGTTAGGAACACGAAAGAACAATGAATGATCAAAACACATGTTACCCTCCATAGCCGAAGGATGAGGCTGGCCTTTTGGACAGACTTTACTGGATAAAGATTTCGATATACGTGGAGCAGACGATACAGCACCGGCAATATTCGAATCCGATGAGTCCATTGCAGTCAATAAAGCTGGAGCAAGCCAGACAACAGCTTCTCTAGCGTTCAAATAAGACGACCAATGACTGATAAGATATAAACACGCAGAAGGACCAACATGTAGAACTGTTGAAACTGCCCATACCAACGCTTCTCGCCTACGCCAATAAATCGATCGCCTAGATGTACGCAGTACACCTATCAAGGCTAAATGAAATGCAGTACTAATCAGATATATTCGATCACGAGTGAAGAATGTTTCTACAGCAATATTTGTTGCATTTGATGGTGAAAGTAGACTGGCCGGTGAATTCCCATTCAGCAGACAAGCACATTCACCATAGGTTGAATCAAGTAGATTAGTAGTACTCGGTGGTTTACGGTTTACCAATGATCTCAATTTCCAACCCATTGCTTCTGCAAATACCTAAACAACGATGAAGAAACTGAAAGTTGCAACAACAAAGAAGTGTCTATAAGTAGACTCAAAAACGTTATTCACAGAACTCATATTTTGGGGGGAGAATTATGACTCCTTTAGCAGAGCTTTACAATACACAACAACAAAAGTGTTCACAAGATGTGATTCCTAAAAGAATGAATACGACATGGTTGTTCATTCATGCTGATGAAGAAATGGAATGATTTCTGAACATTCAGTTTAGAATCACGAGAAATTCAATTTCTGTCCATTATGTTGCACGGGATTTTAGACCTGACACTCTGAATATTCAACCAGGTCATCGTGTAAGAACTTGAAAATGCATGTGAACACACTTGTTTCCTTATCATCTTCGATCAATATAAGAAATAAACTAGTTCATTTCCTCTTATGTTGGTTTGATCTGATATGTTGGTGGTTGAGTTGGCTAAACTAACTGAGCAATCACGATAGATTTGTCGTGTCATTATCAAATGAATTATTTCGAATAGCATTGTATTAGCCTAATTTTAGATCATATCTCACATATACACATGTGTACACTCACAGTGACTTATAAAACTAAGTGCACAACGATCACATTTCAAAGAATAACATTCTAAACAAACAACCAATCCAGTAAGTTAATAGTAGTGTTCAAACAATAAACTTGAAAGTCCTGGAATTCAATCCCACATAAAGATAATAAACATCCAGGTCATCGTTTTTACGAATGTCCTGAAAGAAGTTGAGCACCGAGTCAGGTTGACTCATTATATGGGTAAGTTTTTATATAAACCCAGCGTGTTTAGAAAATCGAAAACAAGATTTTTTCTGAACGTTTCGCTGTGTATGCCACAGCTTCTTTAGCAGAAGATGGTCAATTTTTCCTGCTTAAAACCATGCACTAAGGCTAAAAACAGTTAGAGACAGACAATACATCCCCCTACTATTCAACAATTTTACGGTTTATATATCCACTTTTTCATTCTTTGCAGTTTTATACCTACACTCTGAAACAAAAAAACATTGACACACCGAAATAACATTGGTCCACTTAAAAGTAGAAGACCCATTTGTGCAGACTATGTAAACAAAACGCTATTATTATCATTATTATTATTACTATTATTACCTGTTGTGATATAGCCAGTAGGCTAACAGTTGAATGAATATTTTGATCACAGATCTGTACAATTTGATCTAATCGATGAATGTGTGATTTAGAAACACGTATTAATGCAACAGCCAATCGAGTTTGACGCAATTTCAAGGTTTCTAGACATCGCAGGTATTGTGGGTCCTGATTATCATCTTCAAAATGCTGAATATCATCTATCCTCGCAGATCGAATAAAATTAGAGGTATGAGTGTGGTTCGTGCTGATATTGTTAGTGTCGATGATATTCTGAGGGTTATATGTAGGATAAACAGGTAAATTATTACAAGGAAAATTGAAGTATGCAGATCCATTGTTGGATTTAAGACAATTTTGTGTAGAAATAGCAAAGACAGACGGTAAAGGTGGGGAAGAAATATTCGGCGTTGTCATGGCAGAACGATCATAGTCCGGAACCGGTTGCAGATGATGATCCCATCGACATGAGGCAGGATGATTCGTATTCGGTGGGTGTGGATATCTTTGGCGATTGTCAAAATTAGCATTCATACTATCCCCTGGAAATTGCAATGAATCAACTGTTACAGATGTCAGCGGTGGCATACTGAATTCTTGATCACTAACTTCTGTATTTACAGCAAGAGCAGTTTCTAAACCACCACCTACAACAACATCTCCACCACCGCAGATATGACCACCAAGATTATTGAAATGATCCCTGTCACGATAATTGTAGTTCGCACGTGGAGAATTGGTATATCCTTGATTGCCACTGCCTCCTCCACCACCAACACCACTACTACTCAATAATAACTGCGGTGAACTGATACTCCGAGTTAGACTTGGTCCAGGTGCAGAATTATCCCCATAATTTTCAAGGATAGAAAGCCTAGTACACAAATCAAAAATCAACACGGGAAGGAATGTAACCGATCATATTTTACTCGCTTATGAGCGAGACTGGCAACTGTTATGCAGGTGAATAAAGAATATGGCATAGAAAGCATAGTGACTTACACTGGTGTAGTTCTCAAGATAATAGAGATTTATAAGTCAAGATGAGGAAGGGAAACCACTTCTTATTCCCCAATTTTTGATGTTCGGTTGTGGACCCTTGATCATCGGACTCAGCGAGATCAACACCACCAACTTCATGAGGCTAATGCTGATGACATCATACCAAGGCTTCGGCAAACACCAAACGGTTGTCAGTGCAGTTCTCTGTTTGACGTCTACGTTTTTATTCAGATCATGAATAAGTAATCTCAATGTAACTGATAATTTTATTTGTTACTACCATTACCACTTACGGAAAGGGCTTTAAAATCTTGTAAGTACAGTGCTGTAATATAATTTGCATAAGGGCTTAGAAATATTAATATAAGTGTAAACCTTGGGCACTGTGGTAGAATGTAATTCCACATTAGATTTGTTTATTTGATATATGGCGCACAGTGATACAGTATTATTTACTTGATTACGTTTCGAGCATAAATTATTGCTCATAGTCATACCAACGTAATCACACTTCTTTCGATATCTGATTTTATAGTCCTGTCACCTGATTTTTCTTTGTTTTTTGATTGGTAGTAGATATGGTAAACTTTACTACCAATCAAAAAACAAAGAAAAATCAGGCGACAGGACTATAAAATCAGATATCGAAAGAAGTGTGATTACATTGGCTTAGAGATATTACCTAGGGACCCAGAGGAAAACAAACTGTTGTCTTATGGAACCAGTTTCTAATTAACAAGGCAGTTAAAAATCGTTAGAAGTTGTATACTCATGAGATGGTAAGTGATTATGATAGGTTAGTTCTTTTGACTTCATCAGGTCTATACGCAATATTGATTTTGGACCAGTCGTCCAGTCCCTGCTCTTCAGTAAACCCTCTGTATCAACTTGTTTTCAACCTCTTACTTTTGTGTAAACACTGGCTATATGAAGGTAGTGATGATGACTCCCGTTGTAAAAGATGAGATTACATGCTAGTAGCTCATGAAAAAGGATGTACTTCAGGACATTAAAAGAAGGCTAATGCAATTTGGTAACTGAAAACAAAGTTATGCCGTAGGTTCCGAGCTATAGTTAATTGTAAGAGGGCTTATGATATTACTTAACTTCTCACGTCAGATTACATGATGCATTCAAACTCGCCAGTCAACAAATGACAGTTGAATACTTGAATTGACCATCCGTTACTCGATAACTCTTCATGGACAATAAACCTTAAGATTATTCATAAAATAACATTACACAATCAGTCGATGACGATTAAAGATAGGTTAACCTTCAAAAACTCTGGGGACATGAACTACGCTAGGAAAACGTATTCTTTTTTAAAAACGAAACCCATAAATAGACTAATAACAAATTAAATCTTATTAGCTCTTACCGCATAGCTCGTGTCACCAATGTGAAAACCATATCGTCAATACGAACTGATGACAAATTATTATTATTATTGCTCCCGTTACCAGAATGTATCCAACAGATACTGAAAGACACCAACTGATTCAACTTCTGTGTATCCAGTAAGTAATTTAAAACAAACTCGGCGACAGCATGAACTGGATAAGTATCTGAATGCACAGTTAATCCAAGTGAAGACCACCACCATAACTGCATTAACGAGGAATAATCCAACTTGCTTAGAATACGTGATGATATTGGTGGGCCTAATAAATGGCATAATGTTTCACACATTGCTAATACGGTAGTGACGTCTTTAGGTATTGTGCTTAAAAGGGTTAATAAACGGGCTTCTTGATGTTGACATGCTAACAATCGACTAACTGATCCAACAAGGCGTCGTTGTTGAAATAGGGTTAATAAGCTGACCTGGAAGAAAAACCACAGCAGTGAAAAAAGTACATATAGTCAATACCTTTACTGAACTCTTCATATATTTACTGAAAGGAAAGGACATACTATAAATGTATTCTAAAACGAAGTTATCATTAGCCTAATCAATTTTCGATAATTTATCTTGCAGGTGGTAGATATTATCAACATAGTGTCGGGAAGTATTGTCTAGTACTTCAAGTTGGTATAACGCATCGCTACATACTAAAGAAGGTAGTAAGAGGAATGGTGTGAAGTTAGGAAAATTCATGAAATAAAAAGAAGAGGAAACAAAGCAAATAACGAAATATGATATTATGGTCAGGGTAATGATGAGTCGATGCGTTCCAGTCAGTGATCTATCCTGAGGCATATCATCTAGTCTCCAAACCGTCATTCTACGTTGTCTTAAGAACCCCAACCGCGAGACCTAAATAAGCCCTACACAGCTCAGTTCAGTAGTAAGAAATTTTATGTTATTGATGCAATGTTTTAGTTTGGCGACTCTTCATTTTTTTCTTACTCCAGTGAATATCGCTCAACGCGGTAGTCAGATCATGACAAAGTCACCTCAGTTAATGAGGGTTCATAACCTTACTAACTAACCTATTTCGCTTACTTAAAGCCCCACACCTAGCTTATGCTATCTCATTTAGTAGTTCCACGACAAGCAAACAATGTTTTGAAATACCGTGCAGTACACCCCGGTTTCAATAGATAGTCGGACATTTCGCCGACATCATAGTTGGTGTAAGTCAAACCAAGCGTTTTGTGACTGTGACGATATTTTTTTCAGCTTAACCACTTCACTTTTAACCAAAGTGTTGTTGCAGACTACCTGTGAAGCAATAATTCGCTTTCAGAGATGAGAAGTGCATCCCAAATAATCGTCAACTGTCAATCAGAAGACTTTGCATTTTTTTCAACGTCGTTAACCATCCTTCTCGATTCACACGGTTAACACTAAGTCATTGTGTTTTATTCAAAATAGTCCCACCACTTGATTATCCTACATTACTCTAGAAAATTTCAATATTCTATGTGAGTTCAGTAGAAGAACTAATAATACATACACTAACTGTATAAACTAACAGCCTGAAATGAGGATAAACAGAAAGTTGAGGGAATGATCATTTTCACGTGTTATGTAACAATTGTCAGTTTTCTCTTTACAAACTAATTTTTGCATCGCGTTTCTTCTCTTTTATTTGATAAAATTATGTATAAGAAAGAGAGAGAGAGAAAAAAAAAGTTAAGAATGGATACATGGAATAAAATCGTAACATATCAAGTTTTACATGAACCGTGATAATAAAGAAAAACAAATCGGTGAGTTTAATAAAAATTATTTATTTAGAAAATATGTATTCAGTTTAACAGCCAACGTAAGGTTCATTATCAAGTAGGCTATAAAATAAACGAAATATGTAACTCTATCTGGAGATCTGTTAACTGGTTTTAGGTTGGACTTCATCATGAACTGACATCAGTTGGAGGAACATTGGAAACCTGGGAGCATTGGACAGCTGTTTCGTTCTAATATGGGACTCCTCAGCAGTGCATACCCATGACCCCTCCAGGTATCAAATCCATAAGCTTCGGGTTCCATGGTCAGCACGTTACCATTGAGCCACTGGGTCGGAATCCAATGGCCCACATTTCGAACTTCTTTCAGTTTACGATACAGCGCGACCTACATTCAATGTCGTCGTTGAATAACTATCCTCATGTTCAACTTCGTTGACTCCACTGGTCACTTCTCATTGGAACTTCGGGAATCACCTCTCGAAGCTAGTCACCAATGAGAGCTAGATTAATTCTATCTGGAGGTTTATTAATTGAATTCAGAATTCATTGATGTCACTCCATGAATTCCAACCTAAAATGTGCAACTACTAACAATACTAACCAACTGCAACAGCAGTATAACTAGACTATAGCTTAAGATCCTGGATGACGGTCGAAAATCTCTATTCCGCAGTTAATGACTTGATAAAAGTTGAATGATAATACACTTTGAATGAAAAATAATCCAGTTAACATTGGTAAAGCAAAAAACAGGAAACAACTTTAGACCTCGAACTAAATCGTAGTGGTTCAAACTATCCCGTTTCACGAGCGAAAAGACGTAAAATTGATAGAAAGTGAAGTATATATAAAGAAAGACAAACACTTGATGCTAATTTTCGTTCTTATTCGGAATTAGGTATATTCGAATGACAAACAAGTCTCAGACAGGATGAAATATGCATAATGTATTGTCACTGTTAATTACTTCAGCTATATACATATGACAAAGGTAATACAAATTTTGAATAAGATAAAAATTGAATGCAATTTTACAAATGTGATCACTTAGAAGTTGTCACCGATTGCTTCCAACAGCCGATGACTACAGATTATGAATTCATACTGCTTTAATCTAGCCACATTCGACTTTCTACGAAATGTAATTCTGCTTCATTCAATACTACATGTCGAGATGGACAGTGGGTCAGCAAGTGTAACATATATCCCAGTTATCTCATCAACTTTATGCCTGCCTTTCTTTGTGGTTCCATATGTGAAAAATGTTATAAAGCTACTCATGCTGTTCATCTTTAACGGTCATACCTCACATCAACAGAGTAGGATGAAACTGAAATCGGCACAGTACACTCCTCCTTCATTATTAGGCGTAGGATAGTGTAGAAATAACCAATGCTGTACAGACCTTTTGCATCCGATAAAAGAAACCGTTGCAAACGTTTTGACGTATATGCAAGTTGAATCAATTTAAGTGCCTGCATCACACATGCTCACTTTTCGGTTAACTCGGTGCATAAGACGAAAGAAACCTTAGAGTTGTTGCACGAAACCACTAACTAGAAGTACAAATCACATGCATAAAAACAGGCACGGCAACTGGCGGGTTTTTCAGAATGATATTAGTTACAGACTAAAAAACCTAGGCAGAGTAGCTCGTGTAAACAAGCACTAATTTATGCTTTCTTAATCGTGAACTAACCAGTACACCATCTATTATCAGTTTAAGGCAATTTCTTGGTAAATGCTGAGATTCCCACACTGTGAATACCTAAGCAGTAAGATGAATCGAGTCGATACATGATTTTGCATCTAACTTCAAGTTGCTTGCCCTTCCTACATTAGCGATGGTGGCTGTATTTAGAGTATCTATTCAAAATCATCAATGAGAACAAGACCTGCTCTTTAAAATCATAGACTTCATCGTTCATTTATAACTTTCATCAAGCCCCTATGCATAAATAGGCTTTTATCTAGTAGTCATCGGTTTAAGAAGATCGAGGTCGTGGTTTTCGTAATGCCCTTATCAGTCATACTATTGACATCGTTTAAAATAATAATAATAATTCTGCTCTTACAAATATGATGACCTTTGATTGACCTAACTAGATTGTAAGTAGTCGTTAATTAATGTAAAAAAGATGCTTAAGATAAGATCCATCGTTCCTCTTCCAATCACAAAGAGAAACATGTTTCGCCAGAAGATAAACACAGATTATGATTATAATACACTAGGGAACTAATGTTTTGTAAATATTATTATTATTACTATCGTGTTCTTCTTTTTAATCTTTTTAACAAGCAGGATGGTAGAAAAATGAACTGGAAAAGAAGAAAGCTGCTGCTTTATTGGCGATCTGAAGTGAATAGTCTACACAGTCTGGTCATATACAATGACGAGAAAAAGAACACCAAAAAGGAATAAATGTTCACTGGTTATTGTAAAAAACAAAATATTGCAATATAAAGAGTTGTTACGTCTTAGCTTTCTTCGTATTCGATAATGCACGCACGTGTGCACGAGACATGATTTACTTAGTGTGGGTTATCGTATCATCCTCATTATTATCAACTTTATATACGTTTCATAGGATAACCATCTTGGTGTGAACAGCAAATTTCAGTGATCGTTCAGGAATTCATTATTAGCAAACTAACCCAGAACAGATTAGAGCAACATCACTGATTGATTTGGTAACGCACAATACTATTTTCGCCTCTTGCCATAATTACAAGGCTTTTTACATTTCAAGTGAACAAGGTTGCTTACTGTTGAGCATGAAAGTCGAGGGGCTGAAATAATTGATAGCCGATCAGAACTCGAAGACACCGATAACTAAGCACCTCTAATTATGCAAATTTCCTCGCGAGCGTAGTTATAAACATATAGTCAAGACTACTACATAGCGTAAATGAAGAGAAATACCGACTGGCTTAGTAGTTGCGATGACATGTCTCACTAAATAATTTAAGTATTGTATATGTTAGCAAAGTGAGATCACCATTCCTTCAAATTCTGTTGCAAATCAATAAACAGCTTCCTCCTCGAATTCAGTTATCATTCTCGTTTATTCATATGCGCCTACCCAATTTTTGAGATATATCACTTGGAAAAAAAGGAAGAGAAGAACACGCCCCTTTCTCTCTATAGAAAAACTGTCCAGTCCATGAAGCAAGACTACCACAGCCAGCATGAAACATAAAAGCAGATGTCTTAAACAACCTACCATCACAACTGTGATAAAAAATTTATTGAAAAATCAACAGTCTATGTAAACATTCACGGCGAGATATTTATTTGCTTTACAGATAAACAGGCAGGCATACACACTTATACTTCTATACCATTATCACAAATAAATGAGAGCGCATCAGTCAAAGATAAACAAATATGTCTACACCTACTAGAACTGATATGAAAAAGGATATTAAACTAAAAAGCCATGAAAATTAAATGGAACGGAGCTGAAAAGGATGTCAACACATTTGATCAAAGTGCGTTGATCACTTTGTGCAAGCCTTTGAACAAAAACGGTGGTATTTATGACGACACGTTTCATGCGTTGCATAAGGAAACTGCCTAGTTACATTTAGACTATGCAGCTAGAACTGATGAATAATAATACCACATTGCAACTCAGACCAACCACTTAATCCTTCAACAGCAAAATTTAATACATGACGGCTTATGAAACTACTAGGTTATCCAAACCGAAACAGGTGGAATTCAATTCCATATTAGATTTGTTGATTTGATTTACAACAAACACATTACACTGATATGATTATGAGTAATAGTTTATGCTCGAAACGTAATCAAGTAAATAATACTGTATCACTGCGTGTTATAAATCAAATAAACAAATCTAATGTGGAATTACATTCTATCACAGTGTTCAAGTTTTACACTTATATTAATAAATGGAATCAGGTTTGAAGCAAGGACTAATTAGTTAGAAGTCAACTGCTGAAGTCAATGAGCCACAAATTCGCAACTGTATTGCTCTTTTACAATGGAAATAGGCGGTTCATCAGTATATTTTTGGGAGAATGACACTACAGTGAAAATTTTGGCAAGGTTTTCTTAAGAATCGATTGGAATTATTCACAAGTCCATGTAAGATTATACTCTTCAACGTCTAAAACCTAGTTTATTAAAACAATTTAGATATAGAGAAGCAAAAAACATACAAAATCAACAAGGAATGTCGCCCAGAAGTGCATTGACTCAAATTGTCAGTATTCACAGCAGGATGCAAACAGGTAAATAGAAAAGGAGTGATAAGAAAGCAGACAAAGGTGAATAAAAGAAGAAATCTGGAAACCAAGATTGGTGAAGACGTTCAAGCTTTAGAAGACGTCAAAGAGTGAATACATCTGTGTCATTCTGACCAATTTTGAGCCACGTCACCAATAGTCTGCAACCGCTGGTTCCTATGGTTTCGGGGACACCTGCTAGATATTCTCCACCTTTCCTACACAGCTCAGACAAACAGTCACAGACTTCATACATCTCTGTCACTTCTTGATATAGCAAAACTGATCCCTCTTTCAACCTAATTCAACCTCTGACAGCATTCCAAGTCGAGGTAGGTGGTAGCTCCGTTTGCGCAACGCATGTCCAAACCATCTCAGTTGAAGAAGACTTGCAACCTCATCGACAGATTTGCCTTCCTTCCTAACAGTACTTTTCGCCTAACCTCTGCATTCCTAACATGGTGATTGCCCCAAATGCGAAAAATGCTACGAAGAAAGACATCTGTGATCAAAAAATTACAACCGGATAATACGACACAACGGTCTGCAGCAAAATATACTCATATAAAGGGCTACGAGATGGCTGAAGTCAAACATTTAAATTAATCAATCAAACTCAAATAGATAACAGAGGTTTATCTGTTGCTAGTGGAAATAGAAAGTTATATAAACTGATTAGAAACTGGACAAAGTATCTCAAATTCAAAACAAAAGTACTACCCAAACACTTACTTTAACGGCTAAACACAAATAGAATGATGCTTTTTCCATATGACCCCATGATGGTAGTTCAATACGTGTTTGAAGATTAGTCGCTTCAACTACGATAGCAGCTGCATCTAACAAACACTCGATTAGACAAATAATGGGACGACCTGGAAGACCAATCCATCCAGCTTCTGAATGACTAGGACAGTTAGAAGAGATTAAACCACAATTTATATCAGTCTCTCCACCTAGGAAGAAATCACTACAACCACCAGTGAATGCATTTCCATTTCCTAAATGCGATGATGGGAGAGGTCTTGAGCCGATAACAGGCCTGCTGACTGAATTTGGAGAGACCAATGGACGGTTATGATGAGCAGGATGCACCATCATTCCCATCAGATTTCCATTGTTACCGCCACTTGGACCATTAGGTGTATGTAATGAACAGGTATAGGAAGAGTATGGTAAGTTGGGATGAGATAAATTTTTATGATATAAATGATGATTTGTGTTTGATAACTGCTGCTGTTGTTGGTGGTGATGATGATAATGATAATGATTATGAAATGGAATTGGAGATATGGATGCAGGAAGTATAGGTGAACAATGAGGAGAACTGAATGAATGCGGAGGTTGATTTACATACTGTTGAGATGACAGAGAAGATTTAAATGAATAGGAGGATTGACTAGACCAACAATTAATATGGTTATTATTACTGTTATTATTGCCATTGTTATTATTATTACTAATATTGATGATTGATTGGTGATTAGAACCAGATGGACCAGGACTCGGATTGGAGTTCGGTGAAAGACCATGACGCCTAGGGACAGGAGAAGGCGGAACTGAACGTGAATGGTTCACATTAACTGGAGGAGATAAAGATGCAGGCCTTGGGGAGGTGAGACGACTCGAAGGAGAAAATTTCCCATGATTTGTCATCATTGAGGCGGATGGGGCATATTGCCTAGATTTTTAAAAAGAATAAGTTTAAGTAGGAATGACATTTTAATTTCAAGTCCATTACGAATAATATGCTAAAACTATAAAATCTGAAAGTATTATATATGGGTAAATCTGAAGTCAGGTAATAGCTTCAGAATACACATTCAAATGAAATACAATCCACCTTGAGAAAGAGGATAGCTAAAAAAAACAACAGATTGGTAAGAATTATTTCAGTATGCAACTTAGATGTATGCTAGTCAATGGTAGTGGTCCGATAATGAGGGCAGCCCGTCATTCCTGAAGGTAGACTTAAAATACTTTGCCAGTTCACCGAGTATCTCGACAAGTAATCTTAACCAGAATTAAATCATGTTACAAGAAAGCCAACAGTGAACAGATAAAAATATGGAACCGATCCATGAAGTCTAACTGTTAGAAAGGGCTGTGTGAGAAAGTATAAGGCATGTGAATACGGTCCTCAAGATGTTTTGAATTATTAGTTGGAGACACTTTATTAGATAACTCAGTAAAAGCCAGAAAGTATTAATACATGTATGACCTGGGATTTGACAAAGGAAATCAACATAAAAACCTCGTACAGAAGTGTATTAGTTTAAATTTCCACACTTCACAGCAGCATGCAAAGAACAAGTGGATAGAAAAAGTTATATCAGTGAGCAAATAAATCATACACTGGTTGGGACTTCAGATAATCGTTAGTAATAATCATCGACAACCGTCACAAATACTTCCTGTAGTAGCCCCTCTGGCCTTGTGAGTATTTCCAGCTCCGGGTTACTTACAACCTTAGCGACTTTCACAAGAGTTGGAGGATTTATTTCAGTGTTCTATGCATGACCCAACTGAAGCTTACACGAAGGCTTTTCCTCCCAAATTCCCATTCATTTTCGGTGCAAACAAACCCCAGAACCAATTGTCTGAGTTTCGGTTGACTCTTTGCCATAGCCGTCTTCATAGGTTTAAATAACCGTCCACAGTTACCCATAGCAGCTGCATTTTTAATCTTTTTAGCCTTCCCTAACAACCGCTGCTCAGAGTCATTGCGCAGACTCTGTCCACCTACATTTGAGATGCTACCACTCCTCACTGTCCTCAACCTTACAAGAATACGTTCGCATGCACCCATTATTTCTGAAGATGCCGCTGACATGCATTGACACTTTCTGACCACGCTTTTCCTGAATGAGTGATGTTTTTCTCTTCCGATCAATGTCTAGTCAGTTTCTCGTTGAAAGTACTCTTAAAATCCTCATCATCGGGCTATGAAAGCAATGATCCTGTAGCGGCAGTTTTTCCACATCAATTCAGTCGCAGAAATACGCCTGCTCGAGCCAATGCATGGTCGCTGTCTAAATGTGTGTTCCAGAAGAAACGAAAACCCTCAACCGACTCTCCCTAGCGGTAATTGATAACAGCATAGTCTATCTGTGTCAACCGCTGAATTGAGATCGCTGGTCACTACATCAGATAATGAAGTTCGTGCTGGTCCTAAACAAGTGGTTGTCTGACCACAGTTGTATCAGGCGATTGTTGTTGTACGATCGTTCAAGTTACAACTCCGAAAATGCTACCCGTATCTTTCTGTCTGGCTTAGTGTACATTCAAACCGTTATCAGAAATGGAACCAATGGAAGTTGATACAAGAATATTGACCAATAGAGGTAAAGAAAGATTAGAAGGCAAAGATGTGGAATGCTGAGGAAACCTAAGATGTGACAAAGTTGTGAAGGTAGTTTACACTTCCTGGCTACCCAAGGTGTAGAACGTTCCTTTTTCTTAAGGTATCTCAGGAAATGGAGCACTAAAAGTGGTGCATAACCACAGAGCTAACAGAAGAAATCCACTTCAGACCGGTAACACAAGCTCATGTTCGAAGTGTGACACTTGGTTTTTCCTTAAACCCATCTAGAAACTCTATATTGCCTGCTCAGGAAAACAACAGGTAAGAAGACTTTCTATTTAAGGTGTTAACCTCTACTAAATCCTGTTTACAATGAGGAAGGTAGCATCAGACTTTTGGTCATTCACAGGAAGCATCTTACTGCTAACGGTAACCACTTTTCATCTGATCATTATATAACAGACGTGATGGGTTCGAGCGACAACTGAAATCAGTGGTTGCAGACTCTAGGTATTATGGATCAAAATTGATGTCAGAGGCGTATATACATGCAGACGGATAGAACCAACGTAAAACCTCGCACACAAGTGTATTCCCGCGAGTTGCCATACTTCACAGTAACTTACAAAGACAGGTGGATAGAATAAGGGTGATATAAAACCAGACAAAATTGTTTGACAGAATAAGCAATTTATATAAAATGCTCAGTGTGAATGTACAAGCTATAGAAGACATCAACGAGTAACTCCATTTGCGCCACTCTGATTAGTTTTCAGTCATGTCATCAAGAGTAATCAACCATTGATTCCTATCTCCTCGGGGATCCCAGCCAGGTAGTCTACATCTCTCAAAACGGCTAAGACCAACAATCGAGGATTTCATAGACTCGTCCCACGGCTTGAACCCTCTACCAATCTAATACAACTTACCACAGCACAGCACGTCGAGGTAGGCGAAACACATGTTCAAGACACCTCAGATGATGAAGATTCACGACCTCATCAATCGACCTGCCTATTTTATCTATTACCCTTCATCTGACCTCAACATTGCTCACACGCGAGCAATGCTAGGAACATACCTGTAATCAAAACCCTGTGACCGACTCATGTCTTCTACCTTTAACGGTCACGTATCATAGTCGTATGGCAGGACAGAACGGACTGCAGTACAGTATACTCATCATTTGATAGTTAAATATCTTACCAGTCCGCACAATAGATGACGCAAGTTACCATATGACAAACGGTCCGTCTATATCCAACCTAAGATTCCGTCAGCAACCAGTCCGTAAGAGCTGAAGGAATTCCCTTAATAAGTGAAGTAGTTGACATATTCCACCACTTCACACCCTATCATTAAACTAAGAGTAGTTGCAGACTAGTGCTGGGATCATACATCACCTAACATTTTACAGGTGCGAAATGCATGCAAAATGTACTCAGATATCTGCCCCACACGTCGAGAAGACCCCGCATCTTATCAGCGTCCTCCTCACCTAGCAAGACAAAACGGTCTAAATACTCCAAGTCAACTAGATGGCCTTTAAGGAGTAGATCGATCCCTGTGAAGTCAGACGTACCAAAGATAGTGTTCATTAGTATGTCTACAACGTAGCTAAATAGGAACGGTAACAGTGGACATCCCCACCGGCTACCACTAGTTGTTATCAACTCAACTGACAAAATAAGCCAAGATATGCCTGCATGAGTACAAGTGGAGAGCAATGATAAACACAATATAACTGCACGCTATTGTATTCACAGTCAGAAACCACCGCAGCACCTCATCGTCGACAGAGTCCAGAGCCCCCTACAAGCCAAGAAACATGTCAAGTCTCGGCCACATTAAGGTATATCAGAGTTCCACAATCTGTCGTAGGGTAAAAACATGATCGATCCAACCTCATCTAGTCCTGTCTGAAACCTCCCAGGTTTCATCCAGTTTGCTGTTCTCGTCCTCCAGTTAGGTGTCACATAACTATAGCTCCTAAGATCTCAGACACAATATACATCAAACTAGTTCCCCTACGGTTGTCACAAGAACATTTATTCCCCTTATTATAGACTGCGATGATCAGATAAGTGGATAAGTCCGACAGCACTACTTCTGATTCCTATACACCAACTAGTACCTCAATCACTTTATGCACCAATTTCTTACCTCCATCCTTGAAAATTTCAGGTACCAAACTGTCAGATCCTGTTGCTTTGCATCCTTTCACGTTCAATACACCATCCTCAACTTCAGGGAGAGTTGGAGTATCCACATTTATGACCTAACAGTCATTGAAGAGGGATACATAATCCTTCAACGATGGCTCATTACAATGTCATCTAACTGTGTCCATCTCCGCTTTGAAGTCGGCGGATGCCATGTAAGACAGTGTAGTGTCTCTCCTTACGCCTGAGGTTAATCCTGGTCAGAAACAATTGATTGTGTGAACAAAACCGCAACAGATGATGTTCATTCTTTCGGATGTATTTCCACAAATACCATCAACAAGCCTTTCTCATTGGCTTAACCTCTCCACTCGAGCGTTGAAGTCACCTGTCAACGTTGACACCTCCTCATAGAATTCATCATTTACATCGTCCGAACTGTAGTCAGTGTGTGCATAGACGGAGATTATGAATGGACACCAATTGGTCTTACGACCCTTCATAGTTCTCACAGATCCATTCAGTCAAACAACACACAAACGCCTGTTTACTGGTATCCAGTCGAGAAGCCCACTCTCTACTCTACAACTCAATTCTATGCAAACACCAGACAGTCCATGACATCCAGCCATTAGGTCTCCCGATGATACTCGTAAGATGAATCCTGAAGATTCACTAATATAGCCAGGTGAAGTCAATTTAATTACCACACTCGGGTCTTCTTTACGTCTCTCACAGACAGCATACCATACATCCATGACTTCAGATCCCAGAGTTCCGATAAGCGGTGCTTGCTGTCCGATCTGGCGTAGAGTTCGGACGGTCAAAGCTCCTACATCAAATCCATGGAGGGGTCTTGAAAGACTAGGAATGAAGTTTCGATGGCTTCGATCGTGCCCAATGATTGCAGAGTGAGAGGCTGGGAAAGGTTTAGGAGGCTTAATATTAGTACCACGAGGTGAAGGCAAAACAGAAAGCAGAGTTGAGGAGGATATATTATGTTTGATTGCGTCTTGTGTACTACTGGAAGCGTGCGGGCGGTCGACACTTCCTGGCTGCCAAAACCGTGAAAGGTTATTTCTTCCTAAGGTTCCTGAAAGAGGAAAAGATTTGTGTGACCCCACAGCTCATGGGACATTTGCTTGGAGCCTATCACACACAAACTTTTGAGAATTGTTGTTCTCAGATTTGGTTATTCTAAAGTCAGCACCGGAAGACCGTGCAGCGGGGAGGATTGTGCTATTTTTGAGGTCGACCCTTTGTAAACCCTTATTCCTCAAGTAAGATAGCATCAGCGTGACACTGATGGTTATCTAAGAGAAACACCTTACTACTGTCACACCCAGTCAGTCAGTCAGTCAGCCAGCCAACCAGCCAGCGGTACTACTTCGCCCTCGGACCCCGATCATAGTGTAGTAATTTTATACTACAATGGTAACTGCTTTTCGTTTTATCAATATCCAACAGACCTTTCTGGAATGGTAGGATCTCGAGGGAACAAGCATTGCGACAGCATAGGTTGTTGGGTCGTCGTCACATCCAAGCCCGACCACCATGTCGAGGTAGCAGCTATCGGTCGGGTAGATACATGTCCACTTTATCATTCTAATCGTCACAGAGAATTTGGTTGTTTCCTTGTAACAGCTTTCCATGAATTTGATGACTTTTCTCTTCATTTCTCTTTTATATTGCTGCGTCCCCGCCTGCCTAATGTGCCAACATGAGGTGTAGCAACTTGGAACGTTATGCACTAATGCTAGATCCCATGCTTAGGTTGACTGACTAGTATGGTAAGATCATAAGAAATGAACATTTTCATCAGGATGCATCATCAGGCCATTGTGAAATGCGACCCAGACCATCAAGTTAAGGTAGAAGCTATTGGTCGGGTTGATAATACTGATGATATATTCACGCTGTATCTTTCTCGAAATTATAAACATCCTACTAGTCTTTATTTGTTGTTTTTTCTCCGGTAAATACTTCAGTCAAACAGTGTGCACAATAGCTTTTCAGTTCTACCCCTTCCTCTCATCAAGATCCTAAAAATTATTTAGACAATCACAGATACTTATCAGGGAATAATTCCCATAGAGAGTCACTTAGCTGACACTTACATATTTAGCTAGGTGACTTTTAATCAGAAGCTGACAGGTTCGAATCTGATTCCACCTAAAAGGAGCTAGGACAATCAGCAGATGTAATTAGTCCACACATACTAGTTCTCTGGTGAAAGTGCTTCAGTTTGTTCCCCAAGTCCAGTTTCAATTATTACAATTACCCAACTTCATCATTTATTTCAATAATGTCAATTCATTAATGTACAAGTAAAACTTGGGCACTGTGATAAAAAATGATTCCATTGAATTAACACGTAACGTACGTAAACCGGATAACTCATCACATATTGCAGATAATTAGAAAATTTCACCACCACTAAGATGATGGAATAAAGAACTGTTGGAATACAAAAGTGAAGTTTTAAAGTTGCGTGACCTACTTTGATATGATTATCAGTAATAGGTCCTGTCTGAAAGGTCATCCAGTAAATAATGCTGTATAGATATGAGCTTTATCAAATAAAATGATCTAATATGGAATATTAATCCATCCTTTTAAAATATGATCTTTAACACTAGAGAATTTTCAATAAAAAAAACATCAACTGTTCAGATAAAACTAAGTGTAATTACTGAATCTGTAGGCTTATTGAGTTTAGTGAGAACGAGTGCATAGACTACACGACATATTATAACCGATTCACATAAAATAAACAAATAAAAACAACACACATACTTGGAGACATATATCGTGATCCTGAATACAGTCCACTGTGGGGACTCATTCCATTGATACGCAATCCTTGCGCACCACCATTAGACTGTGTATTAAACAACATACGACGTGCTACAATGTTGTCATTGGGATGGCAGTTATTACTCCATGGAATATGAGAAGGAAATGATGACTGCTGTGGTGGAGTACGCATAACAGTATTAGCTATTGTAGCAGCAGCCAATGAAGTTTTATTTTTAACTGAACGTAAGAAACGTTGACTAATGAAAACAGCAAGTTGTAGTGCTTGACTTAAATAACCATTACTTCTTAATGCAGCAACCCGTAAACATAATAAAGGGAAGGGTTCATTCAGAGGTGCTGAAAAATCACAATAAGGACATTGACATTCTCTAGGTGAATTCGACAGGAGTGGTCGACTGAATCCATTCGATTTTCTTGGTGTCACCGAGGATGGTCGTCTAAATACTCTATCACAATCACTGTTGTCCTCCATAAAAATATTTCCTGAATGACTGTGTCGGCTAACGTGTATATCTTCATTAGATTCCTCCTGTTTATCTGACTTCACATCATGGATAGACAAAAGATGATTTAACCAGATATCATCCCATGACATATAACTAACTTCAATTGGCAGACGAAATATCGAAGCACGTCGATAAGAACGCGTTGATGGCTGACAAGACTGTGGTTGTTGCTGCTGTTGTTGTGCTTGTTGGTTTTGCGCGGGACCGTCTTCATCAACCTCACCTGACTCATGAATAGATGTTAAAAGATGACTAGGAATTGAATACGACTCATCACGAGGACAACGGTTAGAGCGAGCCCATGTTAGAAATCGACAGCGCCATTGTCGTTTCGCCTCATTACTACAATCGGGACTCAAAACTACACACGTCCACAGCAGGGACACTTCTTCCCATAGTCTTACAGTCCATGGTGGAGGCTGACTAAACGAATGCGAAGAACTATGATCATAACCATTGGATGACGAGTTTTCATTAGAGTAATTGCGATCAGATGACTGCTGACTATCAAGTAAACCGGGTGTAACATTTGTTTGTAATCGACTAGATCCGTCGACAGTTGTATTCCTTTGATTTCTCCTGGATTTCAGAAGCTGGAAGAAAAGAAGTGAAAACTTGTAACAGAACAGTTCAAGACAAGATTATTTACCTCGATATATCTACAGAGCTAGATCAGTTAATTTGAGAGGTACATGAATCAACATAGAGCTTCGTACACAAGTCCATCGCTCCAAGTTGTCACATCACACAGCAGTAAACAAAGAAGACATGAATAAAAAAACGATACCGAAACTGGTCTATAAACTGCAATCATACTTATGATTTGACAACTGTATCGGTTATTAACTACAGATTAAAAGCATATTTCAATCCTGAAAAGGATCAATCGTGACCTTAATAGCTTAGTAGGTAGTCGTGAGCTTTTTCACCGAGTAGCACAGTTCCCAATCTCCAATGCAACATCAGACTTCTCAAGATTGTAGACACACCTTGCTGATGAGTCCCAACAAGCACTAAACCTATATGATTTAGAGGTTCCTAGTTATCCATTATTAACATCTAACACTGAAACATAGTGCATAGCGATGTCGTGTCAACTTAGATGTATGATCACATTACAAACCTGATCGGTTAGCTCTTAGGACTTCAGCAATACACCTATCATCATCTGACAACTAATTGCTGTACATCTTGCTTGCACAAACCCGTGACCCTATGATATAGTCTAAGTATATTTGTGGGCTATCATCACCACAACTAAGGACAAATCTAACTAATAACCCATTTTTCTATCTTACAGATCCACGCTTAGAGGAAACATCATGAATTATTATTATTATTATTATTATTATTATTATTATTATTATTATTATTATTATTATTATTATTATTATTATTATTAGGAGAAGAAGAAGAAGACGAAAACAGTCAACAACGATCAACATAATTAACTACTTACAGGTAATTTTGAACAGCTTAGTAATTCTTCTGTTATGAGACTCAACAAGCGTGGACCATTAGAATCCCGTTTGGCCAACAATTCACGAACTTTAGCAAACATAGCTGCAATCTGTGTCCCACCACTTGATTCAGTATTAGCAGCAGCACTACAACTGTCACGTAAGCCAAAATCTAAATCGATTGGATTTGACCAGTGGTGATGAAACGATGAAGCAGAGCAATACCGACGACTGTTAGTCGATTCTGGATGAAGACTTGATTCAAGGCTTGGAGCTGGCATTAGATCAACAGAGGCTAGGTCTAAACTATTTAATGTACAAGAGTTTGTGCATGTACTGCCACTAACACCACCGCCAATCAAAAGATTCTGATTTAAGGTTAATCTACGATATCTGAGTAACCAGTCTACACCAACATCAGTTTGACATTTATAATCAGTATCTGGAAAGAAGATAAGCAGAACAATAAACAAATGTAAAAACTCGACGATCACTAGATATGAATTCAATTAGTATGTACTTAATGCAGATGAGATAGTACTAAGCAGGCTAGAGTCGAGGGAGAAAGAAAAAGCGTTTGACCGTCAGTAGACATAATAAAAGTATCACACTACTTTTTTATGAAGAACTGAAGGTTTAACACATAAATCTGTTTCTTGGAATAGAAGTACATGACTGAACAGTAAAAAAAAGTAAAGAGACAATCTTGCAACTTCTTGAATGCTCTAGTCACGTTCCAAACTTATGTCTCCCCCTCCTCATTGATATATACCCTTCTCCTTAGCTTCTATTAACTCCCTTTATCTCACCGATTGATCCACTTTGGTGTATCGTTTACCAAGAGGTGTGACAACTTGCCGGTATATTTATGCCAACATTCAGTTCGTTGCAGTAGGTCGTTTTGTAAAAGATAACACTAGAAGGATGGATGAGATTGTTTACTGAACAAACTACAAACCAAACTGGGGAAGAATAAACAAGCTTCATTCCACGTTGTGTTGTTCTTCTTCTAGATGGGTAACCTTGCGCTTTTTCTCGCTTCCTACTTATGCTCCTCCTTACACCTCTCTCTATCTAAACGTTTACCATTCGACCATCAACTCTTGCGACTTTTCTGAATGACACCGCACCACAGTGTAACAGACTCTCAGTTTGAGTTTTTCTCTTGTAAGCCGTTTGGAATTTCTGTGACACTAAAGTCAACAATAATTACACTACATGTGTTAAACACAAACTGACTTATATATGCACAATTAGTGAATGTATAATCATCAGTAACGTATATGTTATTTGCTGCAGGTAAACATGCAACATGGTGAATTTTTTGATCCGATGTAATGAAATCTACTAAAATAGTATAATTCGAAATTAATTTTTACGCAATTATGTTTTAGAAATCAAGGTGACCAACAAGTAGGTTATTTAGAAGTTCACACTGAAACTTCACACGCTTGTGTGAATATCTTGACCTACAAAGTCCTGGTAACCGATTACAGTCTGTCACCATAATAGTTGACAATAACTAATGAAATGTAATATAGAACAGTGTAATACGCCTATTATAAGAATCCTTATATTGACCTCAACAACCAGACAGACATAACTGCTAACAAAGTTTACCGTCGTATGCATTGTAATCCATTACAGAACAAGATATTCTTAGATTAAATTGCCTAGACCATATAGACTATATTGGACACAGCTATATCATTCTTCTTATTATTATTATCCCTTGGGTTCCTAGTGAAACGAACATAGGGATTCAGTAGCACGTCGCCATTGCCATTCTTCTCTGCAGTCTTTTCAACCTGACTCCACGACTACCTCACACAATCTCCTACATGTCACCCTCGGACACCCAACTCGTCGTTTTCCCCTCTGCATCCCACTCAAGGGCCTGACGCGTGATGTCCCCAAATGGTCTTCTCAGTGTATGTCCAATCCAATCCATCTCCACTTTCTTCTGCATGCTTGTTGGGCAATGGGTTCTCGATTGGTTGGTTTGCTGCCCAGCTAGAGTTCCTTGTTACTTATTCTTATAATGCTGGTCATCTGATCTTCAGTATCGAGTGAGCATAGACGGCGGCTGTTGATGAATGTATGTAGTTTGTTGGAAGTGCTTTTCGTGACGCGCCAAGTCTCTGAACCATATAGCAGCCACTGACTTTACTGGCATTGGTGTTGAAAATCCGGATGTTGTTCACGTTTTATGCCGGGTAGAGAAGATCTCCACACTGATTTCAGACTAATGAAAGCCTGTCCTGTTGTCTTTCCAATCCTGGTTTTGACATCCTCATCTGTGCCGCCGCCGCCACCTGTAGTTGAAACGATGCTGCCCTGCATAGGCAGGTGAAAGAGACTACTTCCTTTAAGTTTCTCCCGTTCATGGTGATTGGAGCTTGTTGTTGTGGATGCTGTTGTTGGTTGAGTATCTTCATCCCCTCTGTCTTCTCTACGTCCACCTGAAGGAAGTTCCGTCTTCTCTGCCTCACCTCTTCTGTCAACCTGTTGGTTTTTGCCTGTAGTTCTTCGAGTTTGTGAGACATTAAACATAAATCACCATCATCGACGAAATCCAAATCTCCTAGGCTCTTTTCATCGGTCCAGCCAGTGCATGCCCCTCTTCTCGCTCCTCAAGGTTTGCTGCATAATCCAGTCCAGTCGACCACAATCAGGAAGATCATTGGTGATAGTAGGCAGCCTTATCTTACGGACACAGCTATAAGCTGTCACTAATCAAAACTGAAACACATGTGACCTCCAACTTATACAGTGCACATACAACCTGATCTTACTAAACTACAGTTTGAGAATTGAGCACACTGCTGCATGTTAAGACAACAACCCTATGGAATAACTTCGATACGATACGAATGATAAGTAAATCATAAAACTGTTAGCAAAAGACCAACTAAGTCTGCTACAAGTGACATATAGGATGTAGCTTTCTAACAGAGGATGTAATCAGTTTAAGTTTTAGATTAGGAACTACATATGAGAGTATGAAAATACAAACATTGCCAACACATGATACGGTATTAGTGTGTAACAGATGGAATTGCAACAACTGACACCAAAGCGCCGATGTAGAGGAGAAAAAGAGGGGACGATAAAGAAATGGAAATAATAATCACCAGTTGTGAGATGTTATAATCCGAATGGAAAAGATGAAAGGAATAAAGTAATATAACATTGCGAAACGGATGAAGATAAAGGCATGAGTGCACATATTTCGTATAATCGATTCTAAATCATGCCAACTAGACCCTTCGGGTGCCTTGAATGATCAATTTCTAGATTACTGAGTGAATAGTATTATATATATATATATATATATATATATATATATATATATATATATATATATATATATATATATAGGTGTAACAGTTGAATTGCAAAATCCAAGTCTCAAAAAGTACAGATTACAATAACACCCTAGATATATATTCTTATCCAAATCAACATACTGTTCTCGTGATTGCACACTTACACGCAAAAAATTGACAGATAAACACATGTCTAGATAATCATTGGTAAACAAAAAAATTAACACAGGGGGGTTGGTACGATAAAATCAAACAGTGAAACGTAAATAACCCTAAGAAGACACTTCAACAGTAGCATATGGTCACCAAAAAAGATCCGTTAGTATGTCTGTAAATGTGTGCAAGTTCGCAGGCACAAGAGTGAGGTGTGCATGGATGCGTGCCTAATCTCTCAATAACTCAGTAAATACTAATAATACTTTGATCAACTGATTACAATACAGCATAACCTTAATGACTATGTTGACAGTTCCTAGTTATTATTTAGACAGCATAGCAATAAAAAATGCTTATATATTATATATGCTCCCACTGAATTTAAATAACTAATAAGTCTAGTAGCATCCGATGACAACATATTCTGTGCTACTCAATCAAAGACCTCTCACACACGCATAACAATAATAAAGATAGTGAGAACACGATTTCAAGAAGAGCGTACAGTGAGTGAAGAATTGGTATGCAGATCATTAAAAGCTGAGGACTCTTGGTCCTCATTACCACAATACGCAGGCGTTTTAAGAGGGCTTCCTTCAAAAGTCACCTCAGAAGGAGAAGAAACAGCTGACCAGTGTGTACACTGCAACAAAAACCACTATTCAACTTTAATTTTGACAAAAATAACGTAAACCGTTTAACAGAAACTATAGATTTTTTCCCCTTCAAAATAACCGTTTACCATTTTGATTAGCAACACTAAAATCCGTACTTATTGAAGACGCAGAATTCGCGTGTGATGGACGTGAATTATTTGATCTATGGGTAAATGATGAAGATGCTGAAGTTGAGAAAGTATTCGAAGCGGGATGTTGAGGCGCTGATGAATCGAAACCGGAGGACAGGTTATTTGGAGAATTAGATCTTCCAGATGACAGCCGAGTAGTATTTGTGTTGTGATGACCTCCACCGGTATATAGTCCTCCTGAAATCGCACCATTACTAGCTAGATTGGCCAGTTCAACACGCAGCTGTTCTCGAACACCAGCTTCATCAAGATACCAGGCGGCTACATCTTGTAGACTGCCACCAGCAGTTGGATCAGGTGCACCTATAATACAAAACACGAAAAGTAAGAGAAAAGGATAAACTTTGTTTATAGTCTTTAGATGTATAATTACTACTAAAACTAAGGCTATGACACTAGTCCATATAGTCTCTGATTACTGGTCCAAGTCATGTGCAAAGAAAGTTGACTTCCTGCTTCATATTCAAAATCGAAAACATAAGGTTTAAGATGGCGATCCAATTCTGGGTGATATGATTCACAATCAATATTTAACGGTGCATGTGTACACCCATACACCTCATCTTAATCGTTATATTACATTTTGTTGATTGTTTTGTCTCATGTCTTTCTACATTTTTTTGGTTCATTTTCATTCCCATATTGATGCTGATTGATCAACACCAGATAGATACAAAATCTGTTGTTTATCAACATATGCACCGTTTCATAAGGGCATACAATTATTGATAGTGCGATATGTTGATTTATAATGTGAAGATACATGCAGGCTATGCACAGGGTGTTTGGGAGATTTTGGGGGTACATTTCAGAACATTATTAACCTCTGAGAAAACTGTAGGTGTATGAAAATGTACAAACATGCACATAAATGTTCACTACTATGTTTCGCAATGCTAACCGAAGCGGAATTCTGTTGGAAAAAGGCTCAGCATTAATCCATGGAGTTGGATAATATTGGTCTGAAACACGTACGAAAGTGTAGGCAAAGCAGTCCCAGAGGTTAGAAATCAACGGTTGGCGATTGTCGTCTATTACATACATTTTGTGACTCAGTAGGATTTCTGCATAAAAGCATTTCACCTCAGCCCATTCTATTAAAATATATTTCAATCATAAGTGTGCACAGTTTGCTATTTTCTTCTTTAACAAAACAATTTACACTTAACAACGAGTTTAGACATTTATTTAGTCAAGTATGCATGCACATACCTACTGCGTCACTTATTTATCCACAAGATACACGCCCATATATATATATATATATATATATATATATATATATATATATATATATATAAATCCGTAAAGAAAGAAAACTTGAGAAACGTCAATCAGTGTAAATGTGACTAGCTAACGATTCCTCTTGCTGGCTGTTATTGTCGTTGTATCTTTTATCGCTGTACAAACATTGAATGATTACATTGATGAAAACCTATAAAAGACAGACTGATCAACCAACCACCAAACAACTGATGAACTGATTGACACGTCATAGTGAAAGTCTTTCAATCAAAGAAAGTAAGCGATAAAATAGCTTTTCGTACAATGATGATGATAGAGGATAGGTAGATAAAATAATGGATTACAAGACGCATAGTAGGCTAACCATACAAACTGACTAACTGCGCACTTTACTTTCGAACCAGCAACCTTAGAGATAAACATTATAAGCTGGACATTTTTTTAAACAAAAAGTACACAGACCACTCCAGCAACATGCTCGATTATCCCCTGTTAAAACAGCGGAACAAACCAGTGAACTATGCTGTTGCAATAACGTCAAAGAATCATCATATCCTTTTGAAAAGCAAGTTCGTAAGTATGTTTTCCGTACCGTAGCATAAGAGGTTCAAAGCAAGCAATAAGTCGGCCATAAATCGAGTGGAAACAATATTTACACATTAGTGATGTCTAGCTTTCAAGACTTTGCGAAAACGGTTGTTCGAATGTCGGCCACACAATCGTTGGAAATGTAGAGCGACACATAGATAAGAACAACACATCTGTGTTATCATGCGTCAACATAAGCATTTCAATTTTTAACTGACCTGTTGTAACTGCTTAAACTGAAGGTGAGAAGCATTTGATACTAGGACCAACGGATGAGTGGTGATCAGAGAAAACAGAAATGAATATAATTTTATTATATGAAACAGCCGACAGACTAGTGTTTATACTGGGTGATGATTGAAGGTAAAATGGAAATGTGAGCCGCGGCCAGATTCGAACCAATAACTACCAGGTTTCTGACCCGACCCTCTACCAACTGAGCTACGAGGTCCTTTTTCGGTGGATCGCGCCTCGACCTAGTAGCTCAGTTGGTAGAGCATCGGGTCGGAAACCCGGTGGTCGCTGGTTCGAATTCGGCCGCAGTCCAAATTTTCATTTCACCTTCAACCATCACCCAGTGGAGATGAATATAACAATATCAGCAGTTGAACAGGAAATAAGATAAAGAGAATTGGCAGCATATGGAAATACTATCCACATGAAGTTGAACAATGAACGCAACTACTTTATCATCATTTAATCTTCAATCAACAACTTCGGTCATCGCGTGGACCACGTGAATAAATCCAGCTGTTTCATATAATAATTTATAGCAAAAGAACTACTCTCAACTTCATCAAAACTCTTATTGTTGGCTTGTTCTTTGTATACTACTGTGAAGTGCCGCAACTTGAGTTGATACACTTGTGTGCCAGGTTCTACGTTGATTTAGTCTACCTCTTTTATTGTTTACGGTTCGATGACGTTATTTAACACCATGTCCACTTTTAACATCATTAGTAGGTATGTTTTCGCTTGTATTATCCCGTCGAAACGCGCGTCCTAGATTCCACTGCTGGCCACTATCCATCACTAACACATTAGGAGGTATGTGCTATGAGAATTATGATTTGAAACAGATAGGTTTCGGCAAAACAATAAGAACACGTGGTTTATCTGAAAAGTTTCAATTAAATTAAGTCACCTTATTCTTCTGTTGAGAACTATGACTGCTACTAACTAGTTCGACGATCGACAGCGCCAATCGATAGAAAGGATGAAAAGCAATCACCTACTGCTAGTTTACCTTAAATTCGCAGCTTTCAAATCAACACATGCCCATCTCAAATCGAGCTGCATAAAAATCCCAAACCCATTAGAAATATCCTTCAAAGAAATAACATTTATGCGAGCAATAATGATAGGAGTGATAAAAACACACTGAACTTTTACCACATAATCGAAAACTAACTAGTCGAACAACCCTACTTTCTGTTTGAAAAAAAATTGTTATCCGCATAACGCAGAAGAAAACCAAGACTGGAACGTGTTCGGACGAGGTCATCAACATAACCCATATGAGAATAGAGAGAGCAATAACAATCTGGGATCTTGATTAGTCAGCGTGTGTGCATGCGCTATAGATGACTAGGCACGAAAACACAAACGTATACATAAGACAAGGTTAGCGAAAAAGGGGATAGAAAAATATAAAGCGAAGCATTGGAAAAAAATGTTGATGAGATTTTGCAACAACAGGGTGAGAGAAACAACTGCATGTATGAATATTCTACGAAAGACGATCATCATATCACCACCAGGATGGATGATTCATAAAACACATGAGGTGCAAAGAAAGCACCACAAGATGGAAAATTCTTTAATTAGTTTTACATACACCTTTATTTGGGTGTATACCATAGATGCACCCGTACACACCTACACATATGTTGAGGTGCGAAGGTGGAGAGAAGCTGTAATCATTTAATTCATGCTTTTCTCGTTAGTAGTGATGTTAATTCTATAATAATAACTCCGGGTAGGATAAGATACTTAAAATTAACTACACACATGATAGCTGACTACATGCTACAAAAATGACAGATCGATATTAGCCAATCAGGAGAGGAACCTCACTTTTATCAAAGTAGTCGGCTAATTTTAACCGCCCGCAGTATTTACCACTAGACCATATCGCCCACGCATTTACAGCATGAACGAAAGTTTGATCACTGGAACTGTAGGTGCAACGTCAGTCAGCCGATTATTTAACCTGTAGATGTGATTGAGAGGATAAGATCTAGTTATAAAAGAATGTGCTCATTTGACAAACGGCAAATAAACAGAAAAAAGGGAGACAATAAATAAATAGATACTTTACCTGAAGTTTGATTAATATTTGATTCGGGTTGAAGCAGTTGGTCAGCTAACTGTTGTGCACTGGGTAGGATTTTATTCGGATGAGAAGCAATTAGATACTGAGCGAATTTTTGTAATTGACTACGATTCATACGAACGAGGGCATCTACAAAGAAGTGGAAAAGAAGAAAAAAAGGAACAGTAAAGTTACAAAAATGCTGGCAAAAGTCTGCATCATGTAAGACTAAACCAATCGTAATTGAAGAGTCATTTAATAACTGCACATTATCGAACCTATGTGTTGATTTATGTACACTGCATTTTTTGGTGTAAAAAATCCCCTTTCGTAATAAATTTTATTTTAACTAAAACATTTATTGGTTGAACAACGTGATCTGATTCGTCTCCACTTACTGTTTAAAAATTGAGATAACTTGTGCAAGTTTTATTCCCTGAAAAAGGGGCTTCGTGTGCGAAATGTTATGCACTTACTTTTCTACTTTTTATTACGATTTTACAAACAGATTTTCATTGATTTTTGTCTGGTTCCACTCATTCATTCGTCTATTATGATGAGGCACCGAAAACATACATAACTGACCACTGCCCCGCGATACGAATACACTCTAGAACAACTTCATTAGTTCACATTCTTGTTCAATAGGTAAGGATTGTAAAAAGTATCACAAATCGCAGTATTGTAGTAAATATTCACCAGTCTGGTCAGAAACCGCTAAAAACATACAGTGTCGAGCGTTTTTTGCGCCTTCTGACAGCTAGTCGGCTGATGCATCGTTAAGTACGGAAACTGTAAATATGGTTAAAATAGAGTGAAAGTATAGTCACATTGATGAGCACTCAGATACTTCACATCATCCAGTCTAGTAATCAAGAAAAGTAACATTCAAAACATGACTGGAATGGACAGATGGGTTGGATGTGATTATCACAACACAGCATCGCCATCAGTCAAGCGATGGAACCTATAAAGAAAGAGAAAAATTTTAGTTAGTCAGCTGTGTGAATTGCTGATTGCTGTAGACTAAAAATTCATCTGTAGTGTTAGAACTGAATTTCTTTCGTTTTATGTTCTTCGAAAATCCGGAATATAGCTGGTTGTTCTGTATTTTCTTCTCATTATGTCTTTTATTGCACCTAGTTCTACAGGTAGGTTTCATTTTTTCATCCCTGTCATCTTAAATTACCACAAGTTACAGTTTGGCACAATACAACCAGGTTTTCTTTCTTATCATTCTCTCAACCGATGACCTCGTCAGTGTGAATATCATTTTTGCAATGATTCAACATCAGTATTAGTCTAAAACAATCACTATCTTATTGATGATTATTTGAAGATGATCAATTCTTCGAATCCTATTTTGACCCGAATTTCATTTTTACTTTAATCATCATCAAGAGCTATCGATGGTCTGGTAACCGAAGTTACTTGCATTTCATACTTCAAATGGAGTCGGATAAGGATGAGAATATTCTAAACACTAAACAACTAATACAGCAATGATAAACAGACAGTTACGTAGCATTCATTCACAGGAAATCTGGAGAGTAGTTAATTCACATAACTTAGTCAGTAAAGCTGTCGGTTGGTTAACTCAAAGACAACTGATTCGAATGCAGTAGTCAGTCAAGTTTTCCCCTTTAAACTTCAACCATCATTCTCGCACGTTGAATTTGCACATGAGTAGACAATGAAAACTTTCGAGAAGAATACAACACTGCTTTATTTTCCTTGTATAAAGGCTTGTCAGCAGCAATTGCTTCCTGATTTCTTTTAGCAATCAAAATAACCTTGAAAAGTGCATGAATATACACCGAAAGCAATCATTTAACAACTAAATGAGGTCTATATTTAAAAAAAAATACAAGCCGGTAACAGGTAATGTAAGGATTAGTTTCCAGTACTTGTTTTCCATCTGTTTAATTTTTCTTAAATGCATTCAGATTTAACACGGAAACATAAAGGGGTCAATCAAGTCACTACTAATAAAAATAATGAATTAATAAAGAACAGACTAACAGTAAGAAGAGACTTCATTCATTGATGCCATGTCTTGGTGCGGCCATCCTGGACCTTCTTCCAACCTAATCCAACTTCCCCTAGCATGCCACGTCAAGGTAGGGAGTCACCCGGTATGCGCAACACATATCCGAGACACCTTAACAGATGAAGGTTCACAACCTCATCGATCGACTTGCTTCGCCTGATCTCAACATTGTTCACACGGTGATCCCATAGAACACGAGAAATGTTAGCCTATCTGCCAGCGAAATAATATGGACAGCCACATGTAGTCGCATCACAATCAGCAGTAATAATAAAGAAAATAATTCTAATTATTAGTTAAGAAGGTCAAAATGCACTGAGAAAACAAAGTGTAGCTGAGATAGTCTCCCTTCAGTATCACAACAAAAGTAGATTTTTTTCAAAAATAATTTTACTGATGCATCTACTTGGTGATGGTTGACAGCGAAATTCAAGAAGTTTCCTGTCATGTTTCAGGATTACCGCCTGAATGTATAACCATCCTAGTGGATACTTTAACTGTAATCCAGCAGCCATCGTGTCTCATGCAATGAGAACTAGACTTTATTTTCACTTTATACACACGAATTTCAGTTTATATTCCTGACTGTTGGGTTTCAATCCCTTTACGAACACCAACACTTACTGGAACACTGATGCATTTGATCAGTGAGTCTTATAAAGCTTGAAGTGAGCATCCTGCAATTTACTGCTAGCTACCAACAAGTAAACAACATCAGGACGAAAGCGAAGGCAATATCCATACATCTGCCTGAAGATCGCATGCACCAGCAAGGAACGATCAATTTGAAAAAAACGATAGGAAATTACATTTATGAACAAGTAGCAGACTAACATTTCCGTGTGCTTATATACACGTAAGAGTTAGCATGATATGTCGATCTGATAGTTAACAAACACACGACCATGAATGTTATCATGACCTTAAAAATTTGAGAATTCTCAGATTGAATTATATGACTTTTTTAGGAACACACACAGGCATAACTCGAATACAGGGATCACCTAGAAGGATATAACCATTAATCAAACATATCAATATCATATTTATTCGAAGCAACAAGGTTTGTTCTCACTAGTATAAATACTGAACATCATTTCCTTTACATTAGGTAGACAACTAGACGTGGATAGTTTGAACCCTACTCTACCATTGCTGCCATCTCCAACTATGACCTTACCACAACCCCAGTCAACCATCATATAAGAGGATTAATCTGCCTAACCAGAGTCATCTCAAATAGTTGAGTCAACAATTTAATGGAATCATTTCATAATAATTTTCATGACCGTCTTGTAATAACGACAGATGGAATAAAGAAACTTTAAAATCTTTTTTTTTTGAAGGATGATATAGTAAGAACAAAGATGAACATGAAAGCTAAGGCAAAGTTTTTCACGTATTCTGTAAACAAGATCAACGCATAAATGAAAAATAGAGAAAGAAAAGACAAAAACAAAGTCTATTTACTACAATGTAAGCTATTATGAATTGTACATTGTGCATGTTTACATAATTTATGCACTTGAGACACAAATAATCCTCTTTTCTTCGTCAAACAACTAATTTTGAGGTCAACCATGCACAGGCCATTATGCATTAATCACAGTTGTCTGACTAAACAGCGGAGAGGATAAAATGATGGTCGATAAGTTAACTAATAATGAATATGACACAGTCTAGTGATTAGTGTTTACAAGAATGAAATACTCGAATGACCGACTGTACCAGATTTATAACTTTCTCCAAAACTGACTAATGATTAAGAAGACTGATAGATTTATGATAGCCATGACGTTCAATTCACTCACTGTCTTATTCACTAATTTTACATCATTTCACTTGATCATTTTATCTTCCTAAGTATTCTTCAACGATCATCTTATCATATAATCTCTGCATTATAAACGCCCACTAATCTCATTATATTGTATTCTACTCAGCAATCCATGCACAGAAATCAATATATTTGTAACAAATATTTATTTGTGACTAGATAAGTCTTAATCATACAATAAATCGCGCTATTTAATCAAATTAAAACGTAGAAAACTGATTCAGAATAAAGAAAAACTTCATAAGACAGTCAATGACTTCTTACTCAGTTTACGCAAGACTGTCTCAATGTCTACCCCAACACAAGTTTTCTTGTAGCGTAAGTGAAATTGTGTACACGAGATTGAGTATCACTGTTAGTCCCAGCCTCCGTTTGCCGAATATAATTCCCACGTTATATTGCTGCAAGGACTATCAATATTCAGACGAACGATGAGCATACTCCTTATAGTCGTTACAGGTTATAAATTCATTGGTCCAGACACTCAACTTCCAACTAAAAACTCGAACTGCACTCCACCTACCGGGGGTCTGGACAACCAGGTAGTATCGTGACTCACTGTCCAATATACGATCGCGCACATGGCTATTGGGTGGGTGCATTTAGTTCATTTCGTAACCACGTGTCGAAAATAATAAATTGTGGGAAAAAATTACCACTTGAAGTAATATTTATTATAGTAATAGAAACAATACTGTTACCGCATGAAGTATTCATACATACATACACGGAGACAGAGGAAGACAAACAATGAATACAGGTTGTAGTTAGCATCTAAGTTCGCAGTCAATCTTCTGGGAACTCCTGACTAGCTTAGGCTTTGTAACTGTTTTCACTAGGCAGCAAGACACGTAGCTGTAGTCTTGAGGAAACCCTTGTTTGTTAGTTGGTTGGAGGCAATCGGCAGGTCTCGTACTTGCTGACACTCGTCAGCAAGACATATCTGGAACCTCGAGAGAACTGATGTCTCCTGTGGGATTCAAACTCACACTACCCAGTGTTGCAGTCAGTGAAGTTAGCATTGAGCAATTCAAGTACCAACAAACATGAAACCTAGGTGGAGCAGAGCTTCCTGCCGACTGCCTCCAATAAACGTGCATCTATCAAAGTGAGACTCCTAGTTTAGTGTCTACATTGCAAAATGATCGGTAAAATCCGGTCAGTACTTAGGACTAGACAACATGAGATTGGTTACTCTCCAGTTACTAAGCAATGCATGAAACCTTTGTTTCTTTGGAGATTAAGAACTTCGACAATTTGTGC